AAACGTAAAAAAAAAAAGCAAATATGGGTAATATTATGTTGAGACTCCAGAAGAGATCTAATTCTTAAGAAACATGTGCTATATGGTTTGTACGAGTGGCGTTGCCGTATATGACGTCATAAGAAAAGGCAGGGCCCCGAGCAGATCTGGTAGCAAAACCGGTATGAAAATCCCTTTGCACTTCAAGCAGAACCAGTATAATTTTTAGTGTTGCGCCAATGCCATTTTTTGGCACTGATACCTGGTTATGCATTATTGGCCGATACCATCTGTTTGAAATTTATGTGTGTGTATATATAGGAAGAACTGCATATTACTTGGATATAAAATAATTGCCATCATGGCTTTGTCAAGCTGCTGCCTACCTTTGTGAAGCAGGAAAAAAACTACCTGGAATGGGTGACAATTGTTGAATAAACTTTTGGCTCTCAAAATGGTATCGGTGCCCTATTTGTTGGTACTCACCGAGACTGATTCCACAGTTTTAGTGCTGGATTGGGGCCCCGCCCGATACTGGTATCGGTATCGGTGCAACACTACTAATTTGTGAGACATTGTTCTAGGATTGGGCCCCAGAAACACACTTTTTGTCTTTGACCTGATTTTCTATATTTAGTTTACATCCTCACTAGAGCAAGGCAGCAGCCTGTTTCCACCAAACCTCTACTGGCTGAGATTGTCTCAACAAACAGGGTCATGTTTAGTACATTTAATGCATTTCAAGATATACAGATTCCATTAGACAGAGGTTTGTGCTTTCTGTCATACATGTTGAGTGTCTAAACACCAGTAAGGTTGAATGAGAGGAGCTTGTGCCCTAGAGGTGTTGAGTTAATAGGGAACCGAAGGTTCAGCGATGGTGTAGCTCCTCGTGTGCCCAAAAGATTCAGCGTTAGCAAAGATGGCAAAAGCAATATTCCACTGCCTAATGGAGCCTGAACAAACCAGGGAAAATAAAACAACTTATTCTTCCCAATGTTTAGGTTCAAGTGCAGGTCAGTGGTATCAGGGAACACTGCCAATATTACTGAATTATTTAGAATGGTTGTAAAAGACAGGAGTGCAAGCTCTTATTTACTTTATGGTATATTAGAAATTCTCATTGATTATATGTTAGACCAGGTAATAAATCACTTTACATCCTTTCTAACCAACTCTCATTTGGTTTCAATATATATGTTGATGAGTCATAGTTCATTATAAAGGTGTATACATCAATATGTTGGGATCTATAGCTCAGGATTGATGTGAGACTTACCTCCCTGATCCTTTTATTTACCCCAGGATATATTCTGCATAACTCTGAAGACAGTGCTTCCACAAATTATTCATAGAGCCTCACTTTGTCCATAAATGTGATTTTACGTCCTTATTTCAAGATTAATTAAATTTATTTTCTCCCTCCAATGACTGCAAAAAACACAATGAAAAGTAATGAGAGATTTCTGCAGATTTACTGGGAGAAAAAAAAAAAACTAGAAATCACACAAAGCCTACATAAGCATTCACAGCTTTTGCTTAATACTTCTCAATGCAATTAAATTTGGCAGGAGTAAATCCTCCAATAATCTTGAAAATCATGGCGCAAATTTGGCTCACCTGCAGTATCTAACAGAAGGGAGTACTACCCCCCTAACATTTAATTAAATATTTCATTTTATCTTTTAATGGCACAAATCTAAAGAAAGTTTTGATTCAGTTAAATGAATCAGTGCACAGCTTTTATAATAGAGTAAGGTTTCTGTAGCCTCAAAATAACTAATTGGGTCATTTCCACTAAGAAGTATGCAAACCAATGGTAATGCCAGCGGTTTGAAAGTTAAGGCCTGCCATTTCTTTTAGCCAATGGCTTTTGACGATATTTCCATCACCCAAAGCAGGATGCATAGAAGGTTGAAAGGGTATCAGCATGTTGCATGATAGGAACGTCGCCAATTCTCCAAAACAACCTTTAGACGTCAACAGAATAATCATTTTTGTTTCTACAATCAACATTGGCAACATGTGGAGTTGCCAATAGGTGCAGCTTTTATACTTTGAACGGCTTTTCTCTCCTTCTGGACGACTCCAGGGAGGCGTGTTCAGCAAAAACGGCAAGCCTAAGGCCCCGTCCACACGAAGTCAAAACGAACACGAAACGCTGATATTTTACAAAACGTTTGCCGTAAAGACGGAGACGTAAAATAAATGTGATCGTCCACACGAATGCATGAAAACGCTGCAAAATGTATGCCAGGCCTGTAAGTGGCGCTGTGGTGCCAAAGCAAAAATAAGCGACGAAATGTTGGGCATGCGCACTAATATTTATACATGGTTGCCCTGCGGGTCCATTTTCGTGGTTAAGTCAAATTAAGGTGCTGAACTATGTCGTCGATATTGCTCTGTTCTTCATGGAGATACTCCAGAAGAAGAAGATTCTGTTGTAAGCCCGACAGCAGGGTGAGTAGCATTAGCAGCAACGGCGCCATTGTTGTTGTGATGTGTCGCACATGCGTGTTTAGAGGCGACGCTATGACGCATGCGTGTAAAAAAAAAATGCGGTTAGAGCGTAAAGATGGAAACGCGAAAACGGCGTTTCAAAATCTTCCCACTCTGAAGGCTGAATAAAAAAAAGATCGTTTACAGACCCCCGAAACGCCGGCTTCGTGTGGATGAGAGGCTGGTTTGGTGAAAAATTTGTGCGTTTAGGCCAGGGTTCGTCTTCGTGTGGACGGGGCCTAAAACACCACTCAACACAGGAAGTAGAAAAACACAGCTGTTTACAACTAATCAAAGCCACTTTGTGCCACCCAAGAGGGAAAGTCTTTTCTTTGCAAAAGTTTTTGATATTATGAGCTAAATATCAACATGTCTCTGGATGTTTACATTGCGAACCCTCGCCGGTAGGAGCCATTGCTTGCTTGCAATGTTGCCGTTTTGCTTCTGTGCTGAGGTTTTCTGCAATTTCAAACTGTATCCTGCTAAAAATAAAGTGTAAAATATGATTTTTTTTCCTCCCATTACCCATTGTGATCCCTTGTTTTTTGCTTTTTCCCAAATGTATGGGCAGCACCCCCCACCCCACCCCCCCGTCTGTTATGTCTGTGTTTTTGTCTTCTTCGAAGGGCTGCACTGAAACTGAATTTCCCTTTGGGATTAATAAGTATTACTGAATTGAATTGAATGTTTTCCCATGTGGATCTGTCCGTGTGGTAACAAATGGATGCCACATAGAGGGACATGGAAGCTAAAAAGGACCTCACGGGCAAATGAAGCTCGATTCAAGCTTAACAAGAATTTATGCTCGTTGAATCTGGCCTCTCCAACAGTGTCTAGTTGCACAAGAAAACGTGTAAACCCTGTCAGGAGGGGGTGTGTTCATTTTTCCTCCTTTCTGCAAATATTGCAAGCTTGTTAGAAAGAAAGACATGAATATTAGTGTCTGACCACATTATGTCTACACTTCACAACATCTGAAAGTAATCCAGTTTACCTGAACAGTGCTTTTTTTTCTCCTAAAGTTCCAGTAACCCCCATTGAAGTGTGTCATATCATGGAGTCTCTATCTGTACAATTTAGTCAAAGATCTGTCGAAACTTAAAAGGGATATTTGGTTGGTTATTGTTCAATTTTTAGACCAAAATCCTGTCCAAAACCTGTGGTCTGAACTGAGAAGAGAAGAGAAAAGAAAAGAGAAGAGAAGAGAGAGCTCACATGTCTGATTGATAAACGTAGATCGTGTTAAAGGTTTCTTAGCTTGTATGGCCGAACCTTTTTAACATTATGGAGGCATAAATGGATTTTATTAAATATCGCAAGCAGATGTTCTATGAATCTCTTTTTTATTGATCTTATTTAATATTCATATTTTCTGAGATGCTTAATTTTGGGTTTTCATTATGTAGGAGCCGTACTTGGCATAATTACAAGAAATTAAATATTTTGCTCTCTTTTCAATGAAATATTTATATTATACGAGTCTCACTTTGTGAAACAAATGAAGAAATACTAAACTTGAAGTTACCTGTATGCAACTTTTAAAGTGAATATTTTTTTTAATAGCAGCTAAATTAAAAGATGAATGTCTTTCACATTGGGGGAGTGTTGGCCTAGTGGTTAGAGCAGTGCGCTTGTGCTCTCAGAAGGTTGCAGGTTTTCAGTTCAATCCCCACAGCCTCCACTCTGGGTTCCTGAGCAAGACCCTTAACTGCTCCCCAAGGGGATGGATCAAATGAATAGAGTGAATTTCCCCATTGTGGGACAATAAAGGGATTTGCATATACAATTACATAAAAATGTATTTATTTAGAAATGAGTGGAAAGAAAAAAAAAGGAAAGGTTTTCAGAAAAAAACCTAAAAGGCAACAGATGGTTTTATATGTCCAGAAGCTTGAACAAAAAAGTCAAGAAGACTTAAGGAAGTCGGGCTGTTTTAAGGGCAGCAAATATATATATATATATATATATATATATATATATATATATATATATATA